GTGTGATGTTTCTGGTCCCTTTTTCTTTGGTGCAGACTGAATTCTACCAAATGTTGGTTTGTAGGGATTTGATTGGTTACAGGATTTCATCATGAGCTGACATTGGTTAGAGAACCATTGGAAAACCTGGAAGTATTGGACAATTGTTTCGTCAGGCTAGTTTGGGACTCTTCAGCAGTACGCATCCACCGGGGTTCGAGCCCAGGACTTTCTGGTTGTGTACTGATGACGAGTCACAAACTAGCCTGACGAGACAGCTGTCCAGTACTTCCAGGTTTTCCAATGGTTCTCTAACCAACATCAGCTCATGATGAATTCTATCAATTTTACGAGTGCCAACTCGCACGAAACCTAGACCGAGCAAGGCTTCCCTGTTGCCGATTGCCTTCAGCCATCTAATATGATTAGGTCATTGTTATTCATAAAACGGAAAAATAATCGATCAGTTAGAGCAGAGTACTGTCCAATCAATTCCATAGCAGTAGAAGTAGTATGTTGAATAAAGACAATGCTCAAATAAAGTGACAGGGGGATTGTGCATAGTGAAAGGGATTACTATTTGATTAAAGTATATCCGAATAAGTTAAACACACTATTAGGGGAAAATTCCTCCAAAAAAACTCTGGTAAAAGGCAAGAAAAAATTAACATAAAAATATAGTAAACAAATATGCTAATAAAACTAAGCCTCATGTTTTATTCAAAAATCACATGTCCACTTAAAAACATGAATGCTTCATTTATCACACAGAAGAAATTTGTTTCGCTTATTTTTGTTAGAAAGATGATAAGAAGCTTAAGCTTGTTTTCTAAATTTGTCAACTCAGTGTATGGAAAATGACAGTATATATGACCATCTAACATACATGCATGCATACATACACACATACATACATATACACAGATTACCACATTTGCATATTCATCACTATTACTACTGAATCATTCATAAGTAGTAAGACATAATGACGAAAGCGAAAGAGAAGAAAAACAGGAAGAAGAAATGCCTATGCAAATAGTCACAGTGACCTTGATCAATTATTGAAAAGAAATAAAGTCGATGACACTGAAAGATTAGAAGTTTCAATCAGATTGGAAAAAGCAAAAAACTCATTTACATTGTAAATTTGAACAGAAAAACAGACTGTATATGATTATTGTAGTATGATGAGATGGAAAAATAGACTAGGCTGAAAAATGTCATCGTGAAATATGCTCCCGGGTGGTAACGAATAGACATTAAGTACAGGAGTTCCTGTCTAGTCGTCTTTTGATTGTTCAGTAGAACAAATTTATGACTCTTTGTTAGATCGAACTCGGAACCGGAAAGGCGAGAATCTAACTAATGGATATATATATATATGTCAAAGCTCTTAGTTCCTTGAGAATTCAGAGACACAAAGAGTCTGAGCTATTTTTTCTCCGTATTCTCATCTTTAGTTAGTGACTTATGCATGTAAATAGTTCATTTATTTTCTATTGCTTTATTTAGACAGGAAACACAGACAAAAAATAAATAAAACAGGCATACATTATCATCTTTTTTTAAACTACTAGAGTAATTTAATTGAATTTTAGATTTTCCCGTCGATTGATTGGACGGAAGTGCTCGGTCTGAGGTTGATATGTTTGTCGACTTGTTGTGCAGATGCTTCGACGATGTCTGGGAATTTAATTAGAATTTAATTGGTGGATGGTGACTAACAGTGGAATCCACGATGCGCATTTCCTCCTATTTGGGATTCGTCATCTGGATACACCTGGGACCGAGCACTTCGTTCCAACCAATCGACGGGAAAATCTAAAATTCAATTAAATTAACGTGACCCGTTGCAAAAGAGGTAGCTCTTGTGGCCCAAGTGGTCTAATGGATAACGCTTTGGTGTTTGAAACTATGGGCACTGGGTTCGAGCCTCGGCGGGAACATCATCACTCACTGAAAAATGCAAGTACATCCATCTGACAAGTCCCAAACAGGACGAAATGCACTTTGCCCTGGATTCAACTGCTAGTCACCATCCACCAATTAAACCAGAGTAATGTGTGTAATACTGCAGTCTAAGCTGCATACAGGAAATGATATGTCTATAGAAGAAATCGCAAATCCTACACCCTTCATAGGCTAATATTAAAATCTAAATAAAGGTTTAGCTTTTTTAAATAGACTGGTGACATGAAATCAAATAAATACATGTCATAAAATACACCTATAAACAACAGTGTACAATATTTTAATATGCAATTTTATATTTCCTTAACACAAACATTTTTGAGTTAGACTAGCTTAGATAGCCTTCGAATGGCAAAATGATGATATTGAAATGTGTAATCTGGATCGCGCTTCAGATTCAAACAAGCGACCTCTGAACTACTAGTTCAATACTCTACCAGCTAGGCTAAGAGCAGATATATTGGTGTAAGTGTTCTTTCATAGTCGACAATGAAATAGAATCAACTTCATAGATAAGTCTAAACTTGTGATCGTCAGCAGGAGAATCCAGGATGCGTATTTCAATTTGTTTAGACCTCGCCATATAGATGTACCTGTGACACCCAGTGATCGATGTTTGTCAGTGCAGTTGAAGATTGAACGATCAACTCATGGTTGTTTGTTCAAACCCAACTCTATATTTTTGGTGGGAGTCATCGATACTGCAGTCATCGTTCCATCGTTCGCTGTCCGTTGGAAGACGGAGAAAAACTATCAGAAACTTTGTGCACAGTAACCTTATGGTTGGCTCTGTATTGGTGCAAGAATAAAGGGTTCTTGTGTCACCAATTTGTGTTCTGGTTTTTCGCGTTGGTTATTGCGCATAGTTCCTGAAAGTCTTCTAAGGACAGTGTGAAGTCCAGTGTAGTTAGACCTGGACATTTGACAATGTTGTTCTCGCTTAGACTCCAACCCAGTGTCCACCATTTCAAACGCGAAAGCCTTATCTCCTAGGCCACTTAGGTTATAACAACTAAATATCCATCTTGTTGATTTGAAAGCATTGTTGAAACAATAACACAGACAACATATGGTTTCATTTCAGTAAAATCAAGCAAACGGGAAATAATAATAATAATTTCAAAGTACGTAATCTAAACTGTTTTGCAGCTTTCAAACAAGACAAAATATGAAAATCATGAAATTATGTTTACACGACTAAAAAGGACTATCATTGTTTCAGTGATATCTGTTGACAGATTTCCTTAGAACACTATTTAACTGTAGAACTTTTGAAGAGGGGTGTCAATGTAGTTGAAGATTGAACGATCAATTCATGGTTGTTTGCTCAAACCCAACTTCCCCATAATTTTCGCGGCTCATCAATCTGCCAGTCATCGTCTCATCTGTCGCTGTTCAGAAAAGACCTAGAAAAAAACTGTCAGAAGTAATATCTTGATTTATAGTTGTAATGTTTGTTCTTAGACCTTAGTTTATTATGCTGGTTATATGTTGGTGTTAGAATAAAGAATTCTCGAGTCGCCAATCTGTATTCTGGTTTTTGCATCCGTTAGTACTAAGCGTTTCTGAAAGGCTTCGAGGGACAGCGTGAGGCCCGGCGTGGCAAGAGCTGTGCATTAACGGTTTTTGAGACGTGATTGACAAAGGGTTACGAGGAGAATGCTGTTCGCTGACTTTTAACTGTCTTTCTAACTTATATCACATGGGTATTATTTATTCTTTCTCTTTTGAACAAAAAACAAACACACTTATTGAAATATCAGTTTTCAGGGTTAATTGGATCAGGCAATTTTATATATCCTTGCAGCTACTTAGGAATGTGTTCTGTAGTCCTGACCTGCAGAAATAAATGGAATCGTCCTCTGACCCAATACACATTAGTGACTAAGTACAAGACATAGTTCCCCAGAGTTCTAATGATGAGTCGTGGTCAGTAGGGTTCACCACCAAGTCACTGACGACATTGGCTGGTGAAGCTAGAATTCATGCAGAAGTAGTGGATTCTGTTTCAGTGGCTGAATGGTCAACAAGCTTGACCCCGTAACCTCAAGGTCCTAGGTTTGATTCACAACAGGATCATTGATGCGTAGTGCTGAAGGGTGCCAAACTAAGACGGAACGGCTGTTTAATAGTCCCTCGATGATTATAATGGCAGAAATTAGAATTCAAGGACAACTGGATCGGGTCCCAGTGGCTTAATGGTCACCGGGACCCAATCCAATGGCCGGCCCATGAATTTTAACTTCTGCCAATTCACGATATAGCGCAACTGCTGGTCAATGTCTTCAAGGTTTTCCAATGGTTCTCTAACCAATGTCAGCTAATGATGAAATCTTGTAACCAATGAAGCGAATCCCTACAAACCAATACTTAAAAAAGGAAGTAATGATTACAACACCAGAGGAACTGTTAATACACTGGTGACGACTATATTTTATCGATAGTTTTTATTTGTCTCAGCCTCACTATCTTATAAAACTACTGTAGTAGATAATGCAGGCGTGAGAATTTCTTGTAACAGTTTTCTGAATGCAGACTAACTGAAGTGCCTAAAAGACACAGTCTAACCAACTTAACTCTTCGCCGCTCAACTCCTTCCCCCCACCCACCAGATATAGAAAAAATAAAATTTTAGTGGAGTGAAGAAGCACTTGTGGAGAAGAGTCTTAAGATTTTAAAAAAACTCATCATTATTGATTAATAAAATTCTATAGTGACTTTTTCTTAATTCACTTTCATTCAATGAATTAATTCATCCATTCAGCTGTTATCGTGGGGAATAAATTAAAATCTAGACCATTTATAGAATTACTGAAATTCATTCAAAGGATTCATAAACTATTCTTTATATATATATTCAGTCTGTATTGAAGATTATTGATGCATAAAGCTAAAGAATATCCATGGACTAGTAAAAAAATGCTCTTTTGCAGACAAATTTATGCTGCTGATGAAACAACGTTTTCTAATTTCAGCGAAATGGTTAAGAAGCGATAAAACTACTTTCCTCATAGATATGCTAGAAACCTACTGTTGAATTTAATCCGTATTTATCCATATTCAAGTGTTAGGCTAAGGGGAAAATTTCGAAAGATGGTAATTAAAAAAGTATGCTCCCATTGTTTTTTGTTTTGATTTTTCCAATATACATTTATTAATTCAATTTCAAATATATAGATAGATATGATATTCATATGAGTATTAGTGTTAGGCTGTTATAATTAATGCAAGAGATCTTGATTACCTGAAACTAGTCGATAAAGGCTAGTAAAAAACAAATGAACCGATTAAGTAATGCTGGATTGATTGTAAGGGAAGTAAATGAGATACGTTTTTAATGAAGATATGATAAGATTAAAGGATGACATGAAAGAGGTTGAAAAACTATAAACAAGGGGTGGTGTAGAAGTCATTAGATGGTTATGTCTTAATAGGCCAACAAGGGAGGGATAATGGCTGTGCACGAACTTCTTTTGAATGCATAGTTTAGGTTTAATAGTTCGAATGTCTATCGCCTACCTCAGCTGTGTGTGTGTGTGTGCAGTAGACGAATACGAAGTCTATTGGAAAGATTCCGTGGGATACGATGAATTACTTTGAAAGCTCTCGTTTTCTCCACTACATGACCACTATCAATTAAATGTGACAGAATTGAGCTACGGATTGTTTTTGTCTATCCCTTACCAAACCACGATGGGAGATGTTCACTAACACGCTGGCTAAGCTGTCTGGTAGTACGCCCAACATAACTGTCACCGCAGGTGCAGTTGAATTGATAAATGCACATAGATGCGGCAAAACTATCAAGCTTATCCTTCGTTTGCGTTCCAATCATTCGTCGGATAGGGAATGACAAACATAGGTATGCTGCGTAAAACGTTCTTCGTATACTCCTGGAAAGTTTCTGGAATAAAATCTCACCATTAAATTGCAACTTAATAAATAGAGGTTTTTACGTGCAGTCAGAGTCTCAGGTTTTCTCTTTGATGTTTTCATATGTTTCTTTATGAAACTACGCGGATAGCCCATCTACATCAAGGAATCGTGAATATATTGAAATTCCTTTTGTAAGAAGTCATCCGTACATATCTTTCTTGCTCTGGTCATAAGACATTTAACAACATTTCTTTTATATTTAGTGGGCACGTAACTAAGGAAGTGTTTGTGTATTGCCCTGTGAATGTGCTTTTTCTATATACGCTTCTCCCAAGTGACCCATTTATCAATTCAACTGCACCTGCGGTGACAGTTATGTTGGGCGTACTACCAGACAGCTTAGCCAACGTGTTAGTGAACATCTCCCATCGTGGTTTGGTAAAGGACAGACAAAAACAATCCGTAGCTCAATTTTGTCACATCTAATTGATATTGGTCATGTATGTAGTGGAGAAAACGAGAGCTTTCAAAGTAATTCATCGTATCCCACGGAATCTTTCTAATAGACTTCGTATTCGTCTACTGCACACACACACACAGCTGAGGCAGGCGATAGACATTCGAACTATTAAACCTAAACTATGCATTCAAAAGAAGTTCGTGCACAGCCATTATCCCTCCCTTGTTGGCCTATTAAGACATAACTGAGACTAAGCAAAACCACACATTGGGTAAAAACGAAAACTCTAGAAGGTTCGAACTACGTAGATGATTTATGGTTAATTTCACACAGATTCGAAGAGATACGTACGAAAACCAATAAATTGACAGAAGAAGAAGACAACCAAGACAGGACTTCAAGTGAACACAGAGGAGACGGAGGTGATGAAGATAACCAACCAACCAACCAACCAACAACAACAAGAAGCACTAATCGCTATTAACGGGAGAAATTCGACATCACCGAAGGTACTTCTAACGGTCTACTTCAAACTTTTATTAACAGCTGTCTTCGCTAGCTTTATACTACGGACGAGAAAACCCGCCAGAAAGGATTAGAATGAAGAAACTCGAGAAAGGGACCAACAAACAACCTATTACCCAACATACATGCAGAAAGACATCGAGATGCATCAAACACCCTCTGAGGAGACAGTTGAGCGACATTACGAGCCAGGCATGACCTTGTTTGGAACACGACTGGGAAACAACGAGTTGGGCAAGTTGGGGTTCAAGGGTAACATGGAGGGGATTGTATGAACAAGAGATGACGACCTAGGAGTAATCGTGGAGCCAGCCAAAGATGAGCATATAGGGTAGGATGAAATGAAGATACACTGTTAAAGCCTTATGCTTCAATCGGGACCTAAGGGAGTTATATGTATATATATATATATAAGCAGAATCACAAGACAGGAATTTACACTGGATAACTAAAATGACGAATATTCAATACAGCTTGACATAAAAAGCTTCGCATTAGTGTTTATGTTGACTTAATTAAAGTAAATATTGACTCTTCAGTTTTAAAACGAGTGACTTGTTATTCTATCAACGGTTTTTATTTAACTTAATTAATAATTATCAGAGGAAAGCAAACAAGAAAATGAAGGCAAAAACAAACAACAACCAAAAAAAAAAGAATTGACGAACTTACTTTAGCTTGTACATGTTCTAGATGAACAACTCGATGTGATAGATCACCAGCAAGTGCTGCAGCTGATTCACAACCATCAGTAGTTAAGGCTAAGTTTTCCTTTGACATTTGTCGTATTGTAATTGGACTGCCAGTCATTGGTGCTTGAGCTTCGCATACACGTTGTGGTGGTACATTAGTCCAGTTCAAAGCCAAGTCAACCATAGCTGCGGCATCCATTAAACCATATCTAATAAATATTTAAAATAGAGAAGTGAATAAATATATCAAAAAAGTATCTGTGATGCACCTTTAAAAGTTTATTACGTAACTAATTGGTAAGTATAGGAAATGAGATAACCAAAGAATTGACTATTCTACTCTGGGCTCACAAGTCTTAACAGGTTTGTAACGAGTACTGAGGCTCAAGGCTGTCAGACCGCAAAAAAACTTCACATGAATATGCATACAGTTGCTAAAGTTATACACTGTACGGTATTTTGTCAAGTGATCTTGGAGGCTACTCTAACAAATACGTAAGACACCCTATGAGGCTAACATTGTTAATACAAAAAGAATGCATGTCCTCTCACCAAAAGCAAAACCAATTAATGAAAACAAAGCACGTAAGTCAGTGAAGAGTCTCTTTTTGCCGGCCTATTCATTTTCTTAGCTCTACAATCGCAAATATATACATATATATATTATTTTGTATGTATGTGCAAATCAAGTTTGTCAAACAAAATTACAATTTATCATGGTTATTTTAACTGAACAGGTGGAGATTGGTAATTGGAGTTACGTAATACAAAATCAATCAAAAAAAATTAGGTATTACTGAAATTAGGATAGTAACAAAGGTGACGAGTTGTCACAAACAGTTATCAAAAAAGAAGTTATGTAATAATATGAATAGTTTGATGATTGAGTTTTACTCAGGATACGAAATTACGTAAGCGTTCTAAATGAATAGAGGAATTATAAGCAATTAAAGAACAGGCAATCAAACAAAATTAAGTCCTCAAAATCAACAAAGTCGTTACCACGACAGTAGAAGTGGCTGAGTAATTCTCTTTTGTATCCACAGCTCAGGTTTTTCTATGTGAATGGACAGAGCTTCAGCAATACAGAGAAGACGAAACCATATTGCCTTTGATAGGTTATTCTTGACTCTGTAGATCACTTTGAAGGGAGGTGTCTTTTGAGATGGAATGATCAGTGTGTTAATCAGATGTTCAATTACCGTACTCTTTATAGCACCACTATTGCCTTTTCGTAACCATGCTGGATAGTGTTCTTGAATCCTCTTGGACAGGGTGCGCGTCGAACGACCGATGTACCTGGCTTCACAGCAGCAGGTGAACTGACAGATATGCACATAGAAGTGGTCAGATGCGGGATCTTGTCCTTGAGGCTTCTGCAGATCAGTGGGCGACTGGAGAACACTATTCTTAGTGTTACTGCAAAGAATGTTCTTCTCAGAGATAATGTGATCCTTCTCTTGAGAATGGGAATTATCCATAAATTAAAACCAATTAGACGACAATATCGCTATTTCTTAGCTATCTGACTGACTGACTGACTGGTTTTAACGTAGTTGTTTGCACATATGTGCAGCAGTTCGAGTTGCCACACCCCTAGCTATCCAAACGAAATGTGAGCTTATTATAGATAGTAGCTTGGATAACCTTCATAGTCACTATTCAAAACTTTTCTCAGGATAGGGGATATTCATTAATAATGAGAATAACATTCAGGTAAATAACTCCTCGCCAGTACTCACCCCTTTGAGTTTCGAACTCAGGACCATCCAGTTACAAGGCAAGCTATCTCGTATACCATTCAGCCACTGGGAGCCGACTCAGTGCCCAGCCCATAAATTCTAACTTCTACTGATTCGTGATTTTCAGCTCGACCACCAGCTAATAATAATCTCGCCTAGTTAACTAACTAGCTTGCTTTAGAAAATTTCTACCACTTGTAAAAGTAAAACTTCCTGTCTAAGGATACTTTTACGAAAATATTTAGATAGAAAGAAAAAACAAGCAATAAATGATGAAATCATCTCATACAATCAACAATTGCATCATATATGCTGCCTAATGAAATGTGAAGCCTATGGGAGATATTTACAAATTGAATTCATTACTACTATTCAGCACTGGTATTCGTTTTAGATAAGCAAGAAAATGAATGTACACCCAGCCACCCACGCACACACACACACACATGTAATCACTGAGCAACTCCAACTAGTGTTCAGATAAAACAGAAGAACGAAAAAGTAAGTCTCTGGAAAACAGAAGAGGATTTTCCAAATGACAAACAATAAAAAGAAACACTATTCTCAAGAGGAAATATGCATGCTTTAGATAAAAAGAAATAATGGAATTCACACACTATTCTAATGAAAAGCAGATGTAGAACAATTTAAGTCAAATATGATCAAATAACCTTAACAAGAAAATTGAATCTATTTATCAAGTGGAAGTGCAAGTTTAAAGGTGAAACATACTGAAAGATTAGATGAGAAGAAAACAACAACAACAACACAATATCGATGCAACTTGAAAACTAACATCGATTCGATGGAATCAAATTCAGCATGTAACTGGAAAGAGTTTGATGAGACCGAATCACAGAAATGACCATGATCAAGCCTATTAAATAAACACAAACAAAATGTTAAGTGTGTAAATATGAGAAGTTATTTTGATTTGACTCTAGTAACTAGTGTGATATGCCTAGTCCTCTCTTTGGTGCAGACTGAATTCTATCAGTCAGTCATCAATGTGCACCGTGATGGAAAGCTACCTAGACTGGTGACCACATTACAAACCTGACTGATAGAATTCAGTCTGCACCAAAGAGAGGACTAGACACACATCACACTAGTTACTAGAGTCAAATAAAAATATCAGCGCTGAAGGGGGGATGTTGTCTAGAAGTAGGACGGAAGCTTCGCGATTCAATTAACCAGCTCAAAGAACACAATTAATTCAATATAGTGTTTATATAGATAATGAAAAAGGTCTTGAAGAAAACAAAAATAAAATTGAAAGAATGACACAGAAGAAAGTGTAAAACAACACTGTACATTTTAACTTTATTAATAAGGTCAGTTGCATTTATTTACCGACATAACTTGGAAGATAGTTTGCATATTATGCACGAAATTAGTCTAAACCATGCAACAAAGAGATTTGTGTAAAAGAACCAACTAAGGACTTGTTGTCTAACAAATACGAAGGGAGATCGGATACATTTTTTTTCTATCCTTCCGGTCCCCAGTGGAACATAGGGCTTCAACAAGCTAGTGGCTTGAAGTTTCTGTAGCAGTGTTTAATTTTTACAGGATAGGGTTACTAGCCTCACGCCCAACCTTTCCTCTTTACCAGAGTTATTTCTGGCTTAGCGAGGTAAAGGAGTGCATCGGTGGCCAGGGATCGAACCCCGGACCATGTTCATAGTCGGCGAGCGTCCCAACCGCTATGTCATTGATGCACAAGATCGGACACATAGTGAGAGGACTATTGAGTGGCATTATATGCAAAGCCGCAGAGCCAGAAACGACAATTTAAGTGTCCGAGGATGATAGTGGAGGAGGTTATGTGAAGAGGAAATGAGTGGTTATGGACAATTGTGGAGCAGAGAAGACAGTGAAATGGAGATGTGTTGCTGAAGTCCAATTTCTCACTCGGATCCAAAGGGATTACTACTACTAATTATAGTAATATAAATATACTCAAAGTCTTCCACCAATGAACTTTTGATACGCATCCTTTGAACTCAATGCAGCTGATACGCTTACTAGTTATGTAGTGGACATGAGTCTAAGAAATATTGAATGTAAGACGTGTTTTCTACTTATTCTTCTATTCGTAAAACTGTTGTATTTGTTCACCCCATATAAAATAACATGTGTGATAATAACTTATCAGTCAGTGGTAGGTGACCTTCATTCTATAACCTATTAATAATCTTCTTTTCAATGAATATATATGAATTAGGTCACTTTTTTGCCTGAAACAGCTGGCTGGGATAGTATTCATTATTGACATTATTATGTTTTTACTTCAGTTCATGCACTTTTAATATAATCCTTTTATTTATTTATTTTTAATTAGATTTTTTTTAGTAATTATCCGTTTTCATTATTTTAACAGTTTATTATTATTGTTATTATTATCACGATGTTGAAAGCGTTTCTACCTACTACCTACTACCTACTACCTACTGCCTACTACCTACTACTACTGTGGTGAGAGCAGGCTGCTAGCCGATTGGTTGACACTAATCTACGTTAATATGGGCCGTGAGAAAATATGAACAAGGCTGATTCAACAACCAATCACAGCAAAGTTAACGTGGCAAAATATGATTCGCAGATAGAGAACTCTATTTGCCGAGGAATCCCGAAACAGCCAATCAGAAGTCTGCGTTTGTCTGCCTAACTTCTGATAAACAACCAACCAGATGACTGCGCTTGTCTACTTGCATAAGCTATAATAATGTATGTGAAATATGTATAAATACGTGTTGATTTTCATAATAAAACGATCTGTTGCCTGGCCCTTGTCTTCTGTTGTTACATTTGGTGTCGCTGCCTACCGACAAATGGAAAGCCTATGCCCTGCTGTTTTCGATGGAGACATATGGATCTTCGGGCAGGACTTCAAGGCTTCTGCGCAATTGAGTGGCGTTCAAGATCTGTCAGCGATGGAGCTGCTACTTGGGACGCTGCTGGGATGTCGGGTGAAAGCAGCATATGAAAGTGTGAGCCGAAGTATGGACGAATGTTCGACAGGGTCAGGCAAACAGTTTCCAAAGTGGGAAGGACCATATATGGTCACTTCGAGATGGGGTTACGCAGACACAGTCGCAATTGCGAACAATAAGAGGCGCGTGAACGTCGGCGAGCTCCAGAAATGGATACAGCGAGACAAGCCAACGATGACGCCTGCACCAAGTAGATCAAGCCGACTTCAGTCGCACGTATTTGACGGGGGGACGAGTGTGGTGAGGGCAGGCTGCTAGCCGATTGGTTGACACTAATCTACGTTAATATGGGCCGTGAGAAAATATGAACAAGGCTGATTCAACAACCAATCACAGCAAAGTTAACGTGGCAAAATATGATTCGCAGATAGAGAACTCTATTTGCCGAGGAATCCCGAAACAGCCAATCAGAAGTCTGCGTTTGTCTGCCTAACTTCTGATAAACAACCAACCAGATGACTGCGCTTGTCT